GCTATTATTTTTTAAAATAAACATTTCTTAAGAAATTAGATAAAGATAAGTTAGATAAAGTTAGATAAAGATAAAGAAGTTAGATAAGATTATTTGAAGTTTGCCTAAAGTAATAAAAATGGCATGTTTCCTCTCAATGCCATTGAAGACTTTGTTTACATTGTAAAACATCTTGTTTGAAACAAATTTTACCTGGTTGGTAAATTTGTCATATTAATTTTTAAATGCTTTATGTCTTTTCTGTATTATTTTATGTATAACATACAATTCCTGATCTTTCAATAGAAAACACTGGGTTACAATTGTATACCGCTAACACAACCATATATAGTTTTAAAAATGCAATTATTAAATTTATTTGAATAGCTAAATAATCTTAGGTAGAAAACTGTTTCTATACAATATCACCTAGTTTCATACCTTTGATAATTAGTTTTGGTCCAAATAAACATTTCTCAATCATCAAAAATAATTCCTGTCTCATGTAGCTGAATTTATTTCAGTATTTTCAAATGATGGGATGGAGGACAAGGGATGCTAACTTGAGATCCAATTGTATGTAGTCATTGAATTAATAGTAACCCAGGATCCATTCCACGGTTCACACTAAGCATGAATAAATAAAGAGATATAAGTTTTCAAAAAATACGTTATGTCACCATTATATGTTGCCTAGAAACAGTTACCCAGAAACAGTTTTTTGGGGGTTATGAATTTGCTGGGAAGCATATGCTTATTAAACTGAAGATGTCTCATCCAAGGTTAGAGCACTATAGACGTGCAAAAGCTCTGTACTTCATGAAACAGTGATAAGCTCGATACCAGGATGGGACAATATAAATAAATAAATAAATAAATAAATAAATAAAAAGTAACCCACCAAGCCAGGGCTAAGAGCCCTAGATGAAATATTTGTGTTCGTCATAGTAATGGGCAGCATATTAGAGCTGCACACTTTCTGTCCCTTCCTGATAATAACCATAGGCAGCCGGCACTCACATCCTCCTTTGCAGTGCAGCAGATGATTACTTCCCAGTAGAGTTTATTAATTCTTACAAACATTCCTGAAAAGACAAGAAAACGGAAGCACAAAGAGCTTCAGCAATTGCTTTGTGACATCAAGGATCAGGAGGAGGAAACAGAATTTCTAGTGACATAATAAACTAATAAAGTGAAGTTACAAAAATATTAAAGTATGGGAATTCGACAAGGTAATATATGTTCCAACAATTATCAGTTAATGATATGATTTTCCTATATGTCCCCACCTGTATCTCTCTTCCATGACCTTAGATAGAAATTCCTGTTAATACTATTTTATCCAACCATATGTGTGAATATTTTCTGAAGGAAAAAAATCTTAAATAAAAAAATACCATGATTAGCTCAAACTTTAACCGTAATTTCTTAGAATCGGTCACTTCATGGACACACCCATACTCATTTTCAAATATTAATAGTGTTTATTTTAGAGTGTGTATATATGAATCAAGATCCAAAGCAGTACATTTTGGCAGGGTCTAGGGATTGAACTAAGCAAGTGCTCCACACCCTTTTACGTTGCATTTTTAAGAATTAGGGATGATAGTTAAGTTTTAAGAGATTGTTAGAATGGCAATAGGAAAAAAAAGGCAGTAGATTTTCCATAAAATGTCCATTGTATGAAGAAAAGATGAGTGGCTAAGTATGAACAGAGCATGTTCAAAAGACAGACATAGATAAGCATTTTTAAAAACGTACACGTGTAAATGATGCCCTGAGAACCATTTATACTGATCTGAGAACACAGAACAATTTTGTTCTTGATCTACTTTAACTACAAGGCACTTGGATTATACATTTAATTTATTTGCACTTTTTTTTCATTATCTAAAAGAAAGAAGCTTAATTTCTGGTTGAAAAAAAGTTAACTTTGAAGTTTCCTGATTTCAGGAAAAAATAAATGTATCTAATGTTGAACATGTGAGTTTCTTGAAAAGCTCAACCAAGCCTTGTAAAATAACAACTTGCTACCTTCTATCATAATCATTTGTTTTTGTTTTTGTTTTTTTTTTTTCTTTTTGTGCTGGGGATTAAACTCACAATCCCATGCTTGGCAGGTAAAGCACTTAAACCAATGAGCTAAATCTCCAGCCCTCATAATCAACTTTTAAGAAGATATATTAAAAGCAAGAAAGGAATAAAAGGCATATGATGTCACTGGAAAGTGTCACTGCATATTAAAACTAAAAGCATTGTCTTTATATTTTTGTTATTTATATATTCTTATACAAAATGTTTTTATAGCATTTGTAGGATATGAGAACTATAGACTAGTTGTACTTAAGGGTCCCTCTCTTTGTGACATTCTAACAATTCTTACCTGGGCAGTTTGCCCCATTATACTCTTGTTGTTGTCTTCCAAATGTTAATCAATAGCCTAATGCTTTTTTCCAAGTCTTTCGATGAATAGCACCAATAGTTATTGGATCTGATGTCAGAACAGTTCTTGTTGGAGATACAGATGCATTCAACAAAAGCAAAATCATGTTGGAAACCAGGAGAGCTATTTTCTAGACAAATTTTGGCTCATCTAGCTAGATGAGCTTGTTCATGTCACTAAGCTTTTCCTAAATGTCATCTGGAAAAAAGACATGATCACACTGCCATACCTGTCACAGTGCAATGTTGTGATGCTCAATAAAATAACACATTTGATTTTTAAAATAATCTGTAAGGTCATCTAACTTATTAATAATAAAGCATCAATATGTGAAATATCTCAAAGGGACATGAACTTATTAAAATTAAGAGAAAGTTATATTATCATTTGAATAATTAAAATACTTCTGCAAGATTTGAACCCCCAAAATCACATTACTGAAGATGGTATGCTTGCAATAAATGTTCAGAAATAAAGCGTATATAAGTAGATTCTGCATTTACAAAATTCTAGGAGCAAAACCTAAGTACCTGGTTACCTGCCAAGACACATTCTTTTCCTCCATATCTGAAACTTTATTTGCAGTTTGCTTTTGAGCAAATGTTTAAATCTCTAAAATTTAAATTCACAATGTATAAAAGTAAGTGTGCATGGATATTGAGACTTTGAACACACACATGCGCGCACACACACACACACACACACACACACAGAGCCCAATAAGCAATAATGAGATACGAGCAGTAAGAATACTCTAAATGAAAGGAAATGTGTTTTTTTGAGTTGAATAACATTAATTATCAAAGATTTGGCAGAAGTACACACCCTATAATTGCATGAAATTAGTAAATTGACATTTCTGAAAATGGCAGTGATTATGCCTGCATAATGTCATTAAATATCCTCCTACAAGGTAGCTGTTCTGGTGGTTTACTGTTTATCACTGAAAACTCTTCGCTCAGTATTTCTATGGGAACTGTTTCTATAGTGAGTTCTATATTTTGGGGGCTTATTGATGTTATTTTATAGCCAACTGCTTTTTGATATTGAAATTTATGAGGATAGTGGCTACTGTAATAGGAATAAAAGGTTTTCCTTACTGTCAGCAGAACAGTGATATTGCAAACAGAAAGATAGTTAGAAAAATGCAGAAGTAATTTTAGAGACAGTGTAGGTCATTTTCATGCCAGAAATGACGATGAGTGAAGTGTGCCTAACATGGATGGTTTGTGAATACATTCTTTGAAAGACACAAAACATGGATGATGTCTCATTGACACTGTGGTTATGGTACCCTACTGTAGCTGTCTTTAATTGAAGCTGTGGACTGAACTTCTTTTCCTTCAGACATGAGTAGTAATTTTTTAATCACTCTTGCTGTCTTTCCAGGATCTAATTGATTGTTCCTAGGTAACCAAGCACTACTGAAGCAATGGGAAAAAATCTTTAGTTTCAGATATGATGAAAATACATTTAAGATTTATACTATGCTATCTTATGATATAAAAATGATCATATTGACCTAAATGATCTGATCATTTAGCTCAGCAGCATAAGTGCCTGCCTGGCAAACGTAAGGTTGTGAGTTCAACACCGGCACCAAAAACAAAAACAAAAAACAAACAAACAAAAAAAACAAGCAAATAAACAAAAAACCCAGAAAGATCACATTCATTTAACAGAGTATCAGATTTTCACTTAATATCATACATGAATAGGAACAAAATCAACAAAAGACTTAAAGTCTCATTTAACATTTTCTCTTTTAACTTTTATGATGATTAATTCAAAGCAGTATGACTTTTGAAAAAATTTGATTGAATGATTAATGAAATGTTTTATAATACCCTGAGCAACTTGCTTATTCACTGTGTTTATACTTATGAACTAAAAATAATAACTCTGTTAGATATAAATCTTACATTTAAAATAAAGTTACATATAAAATTAATTTTACATAAGTTATACTTACCAAATTTATTTTATTTTATTCTAACTTACAGCATATTTAGTTGGACAATTAATATTGTCCCAGCATGCCAATTAAACCTGAAATCATTGGTCTCTCAAAGTTTGGATAAATTTTCAAACTGTTACCACATAACTCATAACTCAGTTACTACTTAGTTATGTGTACACCTGTGACAGATTTATCTAAAAGAGCCTCGTAACTATGATTTAGTTGTAACACTTCTCTATCGCTAAGGTATTTATGTAGAAATATATAGATTCATACATCACTCTAACTGAGCACTTAAAAACAACGAAGCAAAATAAAGTGCATACTGAGAGACTTGAACTGTACATTATGGAAAATACAAATTTCCCCTTACGTAGATCAAGATTTTCATAAAGGAAAAGCCATGTTCATTTTATGATTAAAACCAAAAATTATCACTTGACTTCTTTGCAAAGGATAAAGCAAACATTTAAAACAGAGGTGATGTGATTCTTAGGAGGATAAATGTGATGGGTAACACTTGAGTGAACCAGTAACTTCCTTGTGACTCTGTTCTTTGCGGTCTGTGGCCACGCATCCCTTATGGTTGACTACACACTCCTTTCATGCTTGTGCTAGGTCTGACGAAAGTGCCCACTGATCTTCCACCCGACACAACGCTGCTGGACCTGCAAAACAACAAAATAACTGAGATCAAAGATGGAGACTTTAAGAATCTGAAGAACCTTCATGTAAGAACAATTTTATTATGTAGTGATAATAATAAAGGACTCAATATATTTTTCAGAAGAAAATCTAGAGAAAGTCCAAAGTACTTACGGTAATAAACGAATGTGTGTGTCTTTAGTAATCTATTTTCTTAGAGATGGTGCATCGTAGAAATTAGCCAGCAAAATATCAGCCAGTGTCCCGGTAGGTCAGCTTCCCATAACATAAAGGAGACCCCAGAAGTGTAAAGTATGAATAAATCTGTAGATGGTGAAATAAGTGCTGTACATGGAGAATGACCAGCCCAAAAAATAGGATTAAACCATTTCATGCAGCCCTCTGTAGAAGAAAAGGCAGTGTCTGCTGGCAAAATAATTGTGTGAGATAAATAAGTGGTAGCTTTCCCTCAAAATATCAATGCATGTGGGGCACAAACAAGCCAGGCTTTGATGCCTGAAGATATCCTAAGATGCCACTGTCTATGTTCCACTGTTGGAACAGTCTTGAACTGAGGGGTCCAGTTCTTGGAAGACATGTTAATAATAACGTCCGAGAGCATCCCAGGAGAGATGGTCCTGCAGAGGAGGAGGCTGGCATCATGTAGGCACACTGATAGAGCCACAGATAGCTAACTTGAATGTAAAAGAGCCTTTAGTGACATATTCAAAGGGGTATATTGGAGAAAAGAAATTGGATTTGCTTTAGTCACAAGATAATAGAACTAACTGTTCTAGTGTGTAGCAATTTTAGGAAAGCAGATTTTCATGCAATGTTAAAAGTATAATTTGTAAATATAGATTTTTGAGAAAATAAGATTATCTAGTAGTATGATGCCCAGTTGTGGAAATTAATTCTCAGTGTTTTTAATGAGTTTCATAGCAGTATATTTTTAAGGTTAAGAGCATAAATGTAGTAAATTTTAATTTCACATCAATTTCCTTCTTCTAGTCTTTATAGAAAATATAGTAAGTGTAAACAATACATAGGAAAAGATAAAAATAAATCATTGTTATATCGATTAGAATAAAAATATAGACATAGAATTTCATAAAATATAAAAAACAATATATTGTCAAGATAAAGTTGATATAATGGAGACATTTTTTAGATGGGAGCCCTCTGACAGCCCAGATGAGAAAAGCAATAAATATTTTTTCATTAGGAAAACATATATCAGATTTTTAAAGCTAGAAAGTATTTTTTGCCTTAAGACTTTAAGATTCTACATGGAATCACTAAAAGAAAATCAAATATATAATTTAAAATATCACAGTCAACTTCTGACAATGTAGGCAATATGTTCTAATTGGTAAGTGTTTATAAGTTTAAAGTAAGAGATAAATTAGTCACCATCTTATATCAGTTTATCAGGTAGTTTTTTGGAATGCCTATGCTATAAGATGTTTTAGATTGACAGAAAAAGAAAAGACAGAGAAAGAAAAAGAGAGTTTTCTATGCACAAAGAAAGCAAAGGCAGAAGAAAAATAAACATCAGACAACAAACAATATAAGCTGACTCTAGGAAAGATCCAGGCTCTGAAGCTGTGGAGGAAACACCTGAGCAAGAGATGCTACCGTGGGACCAAGGGGGTTAGTGCCACGGCCCTGCTGGGAAGCTGGGCTCCTCTCAGCAGCTCTCTGCTTTCTTCCTAAGGCTTCACTGGTGATGAGCTAATGGCTAACCCCAGAGAGGTTGCCAGTGATTACTGAAACTGTCATTGGAATACATTTAAACATGATAATGAAGAGGAATATTATTTTTAGTTAATATTTTGAAAAGCTTCTATTTGCATGACTTACCCTAAAGCTGCTTTTATAAGGAAGGAAAGGTCTCTTATAATAATCTCAACTTCCTGTAGATTTAAGTATACTTTGAATAACCTTTTAAAACCCCAGTATCCTTAAGTAAGACATTCCTCTTTAAATTCAGTGTTGGTAATAACGTGTTCCTTCTTTTCCCAAGTTCGCTCTGAGTGTGTTTCTAAGCAGTCATCATCTTCAGGATTTCTTTGTTTCCACTTCAAAGTGCACATCCGAAGAAGGGAGAGAGCTTATTAGAGCTTGTGACCAGGAAGAAGATGTTAAATAACTATAACTATTTTCTTACTCTTTCATTCCTGATCATTTCCATCCTTGTTATTATGCAAACGAACATCATAATTTCAGCTAGGAAAGCTGCGTTGGAATGAGCAGGAGGAAAGACAAATGAATAGTGAAGATTAAAATAGATTTAACAGCAAAAATAAGACTTTTTTATTCTCTATTAAATCTACTAATTTGCAATGTTGTGGATCCATGTGAGTAACTGCCTATGGTGGACAGATTTCAAATTAGGAGTGGGAAAGCTATATAATTGTTTACAACATAATTGAATATGAAGTGTGATAGTGCTAACTCAAAAGTCTACTTTTCAATTAAAGCTCAATAAATCTAGTTAAGAACGATATTTTAAAACTAAAAATTAACAAAAATATCCAGTTTGGCAGGTTCTACATACGAGGTACTATTCTTAGTACTCTAGATGCATTAATTTCCTTGATCCTTATATTGGTATTATTCTTAGGCAGTAAGAGACTCAATATCCTCTTTATATTGACAAGGAAATGTAGGAACAGAGAAGCTAGATGCTCACAATCACATAGCAGATAAGAGCCAGACTGAATGTAACAACTCAGGATCAGACATTTGCGCAAATAACTGCCTATAAATACATGGCTAAAACACTCCCCTTAGAATAATGCCTGATATAGTATAAACCTCACATAAGAGGCTTTGAAGAAAATCATATATACTAAAAGTAAGAGCTCAACATGTATTTTCAAGAAAAGATATTGCATACCATGTTTCATATATTTAAGTATATCAAAGTTTCAGAATTTTGCTTCAGAGGTGAGTACAAGGATCTCTTTTGCATTTTTACTTAATTCTTTGTCATTTTGCATTTGTGATAAGCTACTAGATGCAAGTCACCCTTCACTCTTCTGGCTCTGATTTCTAGTAATTTCTCTAAAGTTTTACTTATAACATTAATTTTGTTAAATCTCATTAAAATTTTAAAAATTTTTTGTAATATTTATTGGAATCACTTAAGAGTTCTAGATTAATCCAACAACGCATCACTTTGGATTAAATGATTGTTACTCTTAAATTTTAATGCAGTAAATGAAATGCACTAGAATAAATGTGGATTAGCCATTTATTGCCTTCAGAAAATATACTTGTATTTATGAATCTGAAAACCCTCATATCCTATGAATTTAATTCATTTCCCCCTCTACATTTTCATATATGTGAAAATGACAATAGCACTGACATTGAAAGTACAATTTTCTTTGGCCTTGATAAAATTATTTGATAAAATTCCTTAAGAATAGCAGGTAAACTGGTTTAAAATAAAAACACATGTGGCTTTTAAAACATGTGGATCACTGGAATGAAATAAAGAAAATTATATGTACATTTAGAAATACCTATAGCTATAACAATCATAAATTAGAGACAATGCCTCATACTAGAAGAATGCACAAACAAAAATTTAAAAATTACTAAAAACACTAACATAACTGTCATGTAAAATTTTTCGTTATAAAAAAAAGCAGATAGCCAGAAGAAAATATAGTAAGTTCCTTTATGTCATACTCACTACTTTCTGTGTATCAGCTATTAAAGAATATTAAAATTTAATAAAATAAGAAGTATACTGGGCCTGGTGGTACAATCTTTTAATCCCAGCACTTGAGAGGCTGAGGTAGGAAGATCATGCTGATCAATTTAAATTATTTAATGAAACCTCTGAGCCCTGCCTGAGAGGCAGGAATCTTAAAATCTTCTGCATGCATCTTTATAAATATGCAAATGCTAACATGCACATAGAGAGAGAGAGTAGGAGAGAGGGAGACAGACAGACAGAGAGACAGAGAGAGAGAAGAGAGAGAGAGAGAGAGAGAGAGAGAGAGAGAGAGAGAGAGAGATTGTGTTATTGAGCAAGCTCTCCTAAAAAAAAAAGATTTTAAAAAAGTAAATAGTAAGAAAATTGATTTCATCTTTTGATTGACAAGGATATCCAAAGTAAAAAATGAACTAGAACATAATCAAAATAAACTACATAGCTATATAAAAGATACAACTTTTTGTGAGGTTACAATAAAATCTTAGTCTCTTGCATTGCTGGTGATAGTGTACATTAGCATTGCCCGTTGCTGTACATGAATTTGTGACAATAGTCAATGGAAATGAACCTTTAGGTTGGTAAGCAAACTGCAGGATGGCTGTGTGTGACATTGATTGTTTGGGTGTCTTGGGTCATTGTAGTTATTCGATCTTTAAGAGTATTTATTTTTAAGAAGTATATACAAATATCAGATGTGTAAACAAATCACATTTGCTTACTTTTTATAGTTTCTTGATATTTTCCAGATTTCTTTGTTGGTTTCATAGAGTGAATCTATTTTCTCTCTTCTTCTTCCTCGTTCTCTTTCTCTTTCTCTTTCATCTTTCTTTTTTCTCTCCTCTCTATATACATGCATATGGGTTTTTGACATTTATAAAGATGCATACAGAAGATTTTAAGATTCTTTCTAAAGGGAATTATTTGTTTACTTGCTCTCTATAGGCATTGATCCTTGTCAACAACAAAATTAGCAAAATCAGCCCTGGAGCATTTGCACCTTTGATGAAACTGGAACGACTTTATCTGTCTAAGAATCATCTGAAGGAATTGCCAGAAAAAATGCCCAAAACTCTTCAGGAGCTTCGAGCCCATGAGAACGAGATCACCAAAGTGCGCAAATCTGTGTTCAACGGACTGAATCAGATGATTGTCATAGGTACATAGATTCTTATCACTTGAAGACCAAGATTGAGATTCAATTTAAGAGATTTCAAGTAAGCTTTAGCTGCAGGAACAGGAATAAGCTGGAGCCTTTGTACGCAAATTCTGTAAGAAATGTAGTAACAGCGACAGGAGAAGTGGGAGACTCATTAACTTGTGTCTTACAAGGATGTCTTTATTCCTTGACCTGGAGGATATGAGAACATGGAGAGGGCAGGAGCTCTGTGACTACCCCACCATATTCCCGACAAGAAGGGTAGATCTGAGTAGTGCTTGATTAAGATATTTTTGGGACCCTTGTTCACAGTTGGGATTTTTTGCGTGTGTGTATGTGTGCTCTGAAAACACATAAAACATTTAATATGTGTTATACTTTTGTTATATATGTAGCAATAGTATAATTTTACATTTGGCTTACAAAATGCTATATTCAAATTCTTTAATAGCATTTCGAATTATAGTAACATAGGTATAATTGATAAGCACTTGCTTTTTAATTAATTAAGTAATGATTTTAATTCACAGTACTACAAATTGAACCCAGGTCTTTGCACTGAGCTAAATACCAAGCCATAATTTGTATTTTGAAACAATAGCATTTGCTTTCTCTTCGATCCTTAAATAGTATTACTTTTTATAAATCTTTTTGTTTGTTGTTATTCTGAGGAGCATTATTTTCAGTTTTTTTGTGTTCTTTAGTCAAGATGCTGTTGACCCTAAATTTTTTCTAGAATCCTCATCAAAATGGACACTACCATGATTTATAATTCCCTGAATTCTTCTCTAAAATCCTTGCCTTCATTGCATTTGTAGAACTGGGCACCAACCCACTGAAGAGCTCCGGAATTGAAAATGGAGCCTTCCAGGGAATGAAGAGACTGTCCTACATCCGCATCGCTGACACCAACATAACCTCCATCCCTCCAGGTGATAGAACGTTCTCTGAAACATTTTTAATATCATTCTTCTCCAATCTTCATCTGTAACATGAGGATAATATTTTCACATCATTGAGTTGTTTTAAAGTTAAATAGCTTTTGGAAGACTATATGACACACACATAGTAGAGATTATATTTCCTCCTATCATTACTTAAAATGTTTTGAACACTCAGTAGGCTTAGACGATGTACAGAACTCTTGACACAGAAAATGAATGAAGATCCTACCTATCACTTGGAGTAAAGCTAGAAGAGGAGGCAGCAGCTGACAGTCACATAGAAGCCCAAGAGAGGCACCTAAGACAGGTTCTGAGTCAGAAAAGTTCCTAGCTGCAGAAAAGGATCTATAACTTAAACATCTTCTCTACTTCATGGCTTTTGTGTCACAAAAGCGCCTTTATATTCTTGAGTTTTCTCCTAAGTCTGTCTCTCCCTCACCTTCCTCAACTCAGACTCCTGGTTCTTGGATTGCGTACTAGATGCATGTACTTATTCATGGAAACATTTTACTCTACTGTGATATTATGGAAACATCACCCTTGAGAGCACCTATTTCATAGACTGCTTTTTTACTGCCCCTAACCTTTATCATTGTCTTTTAGTGTGGAGCATTCTTTTGATCCTCTAAAAATAAATACAGGAATGGACAGATTATAATTAGATGGATGGACAGATGGATAAATGTTGATTTCTAGCATAAAAGGCATTTTTATAATGAGTCTTTATTTTGTTGTATGCAAAAAATACTTTTAAAATATTTTTATTATATTTTATATATTTTGCTGTTTTTACATATTATATACTATGCATATATCTTACCTAAATATGTAATATTATACATATATTTATATATATATATTCCCTCCATATTCATGGATCCAACCCACTATGGGTAAAAAATATATGAAATAAATTGTATCTGTATGGAGTTCATCTCTAAACAGTACAGTGTAACAACTTTCTATTTACAATTCCTTTGTATCAGAAATTCTAAATAATCTCAAAATGATTAAAAAATACAGGGAAATGTATGTAGATCATATGAAAACACTACACCTTTTTATATAATGAACTCAGTCTTTGGCACATTTTGGTATTTGTGGAGGCCTTGAACCAATCTTCATAGATTCTGAGTAAAGACTATAAGTGGATCCACACACACACACACACACACACACATATATATAGATACACATGCACAGAGAAGTACATATGTAGACATAGGTAATATGTATATAGTTATGAAGTAATATGCATGCGTATCTGTATATGTGTTTACACACACATATATAGGAAAGTCTTTTATTTTGCTATTCTTTGTAATGCTCAAACTGTCCCCCAGGTAAACATATTATCACTGAACAATCTTTAACTTTCTTATGTTTTCTTTGTATCCTAAAGAGTCCTTTCTCATTATTTCTGTCTTGGTTTTTATTTGCTACCATGTAAGAACATAAACACTGTAGTAACTGCAGCTTATCAAACACTTGCTGAGTGCCAGGTAGCATCTAAAATACTTTTCATGGTTTCAAAACATACCTCTATAGTAGTATCATCCTCCGAAAAATAAGAAAAAATGATGCTCAATGAGGTAAAGGAAACTGTGACGTAAGTCATAGGAAGTAGAAAGTTGCAGAGCCGAGATTGTGCTTGGCTGAGGTCAGACCCTGGACAAGTCCTCCTTCCTTGTGTATTTTTGTTTATCCAGCAGATGAATGAATACCTCTTACACTAACACTAGGGTTCTTATATTTGCACATAAGCATTGTCCTGGTCACGTTCTTTTTGATCACACATGGAAATGGAAAGAAAATGACATATCATAATTTTGAAATACACCAACTTAGTGAAAGGTATAATTTGTTATTTGACTTTAAAATAATTATTCATGTCTTTAAAACATTAATTTTGTTAATTACAAAATGGAAGCAAAAATAACACCTTTGGTCCAGAATTACTGTGAGGATCATTTTAGATGTAAGTAAGGATTGCATTATATACACATAATAAAGTAATCCTCATGTATTTTATCTTTCACAAAGGAAGAGAAGACGAAAATACATAAAATAACTAGAGAATAGTTTTTTTAGTCAAATATCAAAGTAGCATAGGGTAAAGAAGCTATTGATAAATTTACCTTTCTCTATGCTACTAGACAGAGTCTAGTTCATAGCCAAACTTTCTCCTAGTTGTGGCTTGACTTTTCAGAAACTGACTCTTCAGAAGGAGCAAAACTTAGATACTAGTAAAGACTGATAAATGTGATGATAATTGGAATGTTAAAGACTGTGCATTTAAAATTTTTTCCGTGATGAGATGGAAGAAAGAATGTACATGCAATTTGCTTTGCTATATTCATCTATGACCCACTATCATAATATAAAATTCACATTTATTTGATACAAGGAGAACAAAATTAATGAAATTATTTATTCCTTAAATGATTTTGGCCCTCTAACACTTATTCATAAGAAAATTGAAATTGTCATTTCTTTTCCTTCAGTTAAGAACATGATATTTTAACTTTATTTTGGCTATCTGGGATCACAGCGTATTTTTTACTTGAGATAGATAACTTATAAAATGTGTATGTTTGAGTTGTTTTGTCCTTACCAATGAATTGTCAATAATTTTTGCTTTGAGGGAATTAGCAGAATTGATTAGGAAAAAAGCTAAGACTGTTTTGTACACAGTATACATTTAGTAAGAAGAAGTTGATTTCCTTCATCTTTTATATAAAAGCCATACTGCCATAGAGAGAATTATAATAATTTTTATTGAAAATGGACTTAATTATTTCAGTAAAATTCCAAAGTTCTGTAAGATATAATTCTGTAGGATAAAATGCGACACCAAATGCGACCTTTGATTTTCAGTTCTATATCTTTATAGACAAATAGATAAAACTTTTGCCAATCAGATTTTATTTTTGTACCTTTTACTTGCTATTTTCTTTGTGGCTGTTGCTACTGCGTTAAGTGGATCAGTGTGAAAAGCTGTAAAAAAAAGGAATACATCCATGGATGGGGAAAGGAAATGAAATTAAAATGTTTAACTTTTATATTTATAGTACTAAATCATTGGAAATCACAGCTATTCAAGGCATATATCCAGAGGTCCAGTGGGTATGATGGATTTAAAATCATTTCACCAGATGTTCTACATATGGCAGATCACTTGATTAGAGGCTGCTGGATTCCTCTTTTATAAAGACACAGTCTTGATTTAATAGGTCCTACTCAGATTCAGCTCTTTCTACACAGCCCCATGATTGATATATTTGATGATTTTTGGAAAAAGCTGATTAGTCTAAGGCCAGCATAGTGCAGCAGTGTAAGTTATTCATGAGCCTCTTGAATCAAAATGCCCAGTTGAGTTTGCACATTGATTTAATTTACACACATAATCATTCCATGATATTTAAGTGCTCATTTTATAGCATGTATCTTTTATCAGGGCAGTGTTAGCCTATTAATAATGATGGAAATTAGTGGTGAGATTCAGTATTTTACTTCAGTGTAACCATTGATAAGACAAAAATCTGTTAAATTGTGAAAATCTTTCATGCTTTACTTTTAAACATGAACATTACTATAAATGGAATGGAAAAACTAAAAATAAAAAAGATTCTTTGAAATTCTATGTCTTTGAGAAAATTGATGGCATACGTTCTTAATTCTTTCCATATTCTGTGGATATAAAGTTTATCTGCTAATACAGCATCTTGTATTTCCATATTCCAGGTCTCCCACCTTCCCTTACTGAGTTACATCTTGATGGAAACAAAATCAGCAAAGTTGATGCATCTAGCCTGAAAGGACTGAATAACTTGGCTAAGTAATAATATTATTTCATTAATTACTATTAGAAAAATGGTTGGGTATGCTAGCGCCCACATGCTCATAATTAGAAACTTTCTTTTTAGTTTTAGCAATCATTATTGTCTATAATAATCCCAGGGTTCAACTTACCTAAAAGTTTTTGGAAAAGTTTGTGAAAGAGTATAGCTGCTAACAGTACAGCACCAACACCAGCTCATATTTTGAAAATGTCATATTGTTTTGAGAACTGAAGTACAAGGTTTTTGGTACTGTTAGTAGGAGTGTGGTAAGACTGTCTCAAAATTAAAAATTAATAAAAGGGCCTTGGAACATAGCTCAGTGCATAGATATCAGCTCTACCTTTAGTTCCCAGCACTGACTAAAGAAGAAAGAAAGGAAGAGAGAGAGAGAGAAAGAAAGAAAAAAAGAAAGAAAGAAAAATAAAAGTGAAGAAATGAGATGAAAAGAAAAGCAAACTGAAAAGGAGAAGAAGCAGCCACTGATGGCAGAGCACTTTCAGAACTATTCTGATTCACTTTTTTTCCTTTTTGTAAAATTTTATTTACTTTTTATTTTAAAAATGCAAAATAAGATAGAAATAACAGATTCACTTTTATAAACAGTTTGAGAGAAAATAGTGTATCCTTCACTTCAGAAGTATAAAACATAATGCTCATACCTCACATAAACATATACAGATGTGTTACATATGCAAGGTCATTATCCCCTTTAGTAGGTGAAGTATTACTTCATATTGAAGACCATGGTTTCTGAGCTATGTGACCACTGCCCCTTCCATGCCTCAAGTAATATCACATATATAATATGTTTCCCAAAAGCTTTTTGATTCAACTTATAAAAAGGGATGAAAATGAAGTTTCCTTTTATAGCTTATTAGAGATGTTACATTCTAATAAATATACCACATCCAAATAGAATGTTGCAACTTCAAGTGCTGTGATGTGTAGAAGATACCATCCTGACATAGGAAAGTAAAGGCCAGAAGACAAGAACGTTTAAGACTGAGGGTAAAATAAAAATGTCCATGCCAAGATGCCAGATTAATAACAAATAGCTAAAACCACCCAATTGTGCTATTGATGCCATAAAACAATAAACACTAATCTCCCTTATTTTGTCAGGCCATAAATACTATTTTGCTGCCTCATATCTGTTACTCCCTTCTACCTTTTGGGCTGAAATCACTTTGTCCCTGCGTGCCTCATCCTTAGAATGTTGACCACACTAATCGTGAATGAAAGTCAACTACTTCTGGCTCTGGAAGCAGCAAGATGTCACACATTTAAGTTGAAAAATATGAACCAAAAGTTTACATTAACTAAACTTGAAGGCCTTGGATAAGTAAATGAGAAAGGGACAAGAGATAAAGAACCGAAGCAAAGATCTGAGTTAGAAACAGAGTTGCTGGCATAACCGTATTCTAGAGTGACTTAGACGGCCACCAAGGAGCTCTCTAAATCCAATGCCTATGCTACTTTTGTTAACCCTTCTAGAGAGTAGATACACTGACATTTAGAATGCTACAGCTTTTATTTTGTATGAGTACACCAAAAACTGCTTAGTTCCTTCATTTCCAAATTAACTGGAATGATGCTGCCACATATATTTTTCTTTCTTTTTTTTTTTTTTTTTTTTTTTTTTTTTTTTTTTTTTTTAGTTCTGTGTCAGATTCATTTGCTATATTCCTTAGATCAGTCTCAGAAGTTATTTAGGGAGCATGTCAAATAATATAATATTGGAGGTGAGACATGGGAAGCGCTTACTCTGCAGGAGGGAAGTACAAGTACACAGCCTTACATTGTTCAAGAAGTGACTCCAGAATGCTATAAAGCATCTAATAGAGTTGTTCATCCTGTCATCTTCACTCAAAAGAATCTTAAAAAGTTGGTACTCAGCTGAGATCCTAAGATCAAAGATCTTTTTGCTGAGGCTCAGAGAAATTGGGAAAGGAACTCTGAAGTAGTTAGGAGAGTATGTGCAAAAACCAGAAGTGTCCTTTTCTCCCTACTTACTTAATGGGCTTTGGTGCGTATTACAGACTTTCATTTCTACTTGCGCTTGCAGGTTGGGGCTGAGTTTCAACAGCATCTCTGCTGTTGACAATGGTTCTCTGGCCAACACACCACATCTGAGGGAGCTTCACTTGGACAACAACAAGCTTATCAAGGTGCCTGGAGGGCTAGCGGAGCACAAGTACATCCAGGTAATGCAAAAACGTGATTCGCTGTCAGAAATACCTAGAGAGCAAATCCTCTCTACCGTGATGTTAGGAGGTAACAAGCTGTGCTGGGAAGAAGTTTTTATAGTGTTAGAGTCATCTAGGTTGCTTTCACAAAATACCAAAAAATGTGGGTGCCATAGCACTTCTATAGATGGAAATCTGAGATCAGGGTGCTAGTCTGGTTGAGTTCTGATGAGCACTGTCTTCCAGGATGCAAATGCAAGCATCATGTTGTGTCTTCACCTAGCAGAGAGCTAGCTAGGTCTCTGGCTTTTTCTTAGCAAGACATGGAAACCATTCTAGAATGTTCCTTACTTATAACCTAATTGTCTCCTAAGGTTCCATCTGCTAATACCAGCATACTGGGTTTACTATACATGTTTTGAGAAGAAACAAATTTCGATCTATTGCTCAAAAAGAATTTTTACTATTTCTGTGTAAATATTTATTCCAGATTTATGAAATAATAAATTATTAACTTTTAAAACTACTAATGGATTGTTTGTTAACAACTAGAGAAAGTGTTATTCAAGACTTTCAAAAAATTAATAGCATGATTTTATAGATCATACATATATTCTTATTTTATCAAACTTTCAGCTTTTTGAAAAGAACCTTTAAAATTCATTTTTTCCAGAAATGTATGTGCTTCTTTGATAAAGGTGATTAAGAAATAATATATTGACAAAGCCTTATAGATAAAAGCATCTTATAAAGTTATCATTTTGATAACCTAAATATTCCTTGTGTCTGAAGACAGGTTTATCTTTTACTATGCTGACAACAATGTAGTAACACTAAAATCTGTTGTTGAGTTTGTCATAACTTGTCAGTTAAATTGATTTAGCACAATTTACATTAACTAGATTTTCAAGAAACAAAATATTTTTCATGAATGCTGGTTCTGTTTTAGTAAAAACTATTGCTGTTGGTGGAATAAAGTGCAGGTAGTTTTACCAAGGTGCTTAGATGATGTCATTAGGCCGCATATTGCTTTTACTAGTAAGGTTTCAGTTGCTGTTGAACTTTTGCTTGTCTTTGCTTTGGATTTTATATCCTTGAATGATAATTTTCACCTTCTTGATTGTGTTTGTCAAATATCAGTCACATAAAGATTATAGAATCACTTTAATGAGTTCATAAAGAACATGTTCCATGTTTGGCAGGGTTTATCAAGAAATGGCAAGGTTGAAGGGTATAGGTAGAGAAATTTCTCACACCATGGTACCCAAGAAGCAGTGAGAGAATTAAAGAGAACAAAAGGGAGAGATTGTATACCCTCCCAGGACACACTTCTATTAATTATCTCTTCACCAGACCTAACAATAACTAACAAAAACTCAGCTATATAGCTTCAAAGATTCGATCATCTTCCAAAGGTCCTACCTAGAGCCTCAAAAGGCCTCTAGGGGACAATTTTTGACCTAAATCACAAATGAGCCTATTAAATACAATCAATTCTCAGGGATATTTGCATAATGCCATGTATTTGAAAAAGTCTCATGTTTGATTTTCTATCTCTAATTGTTTACATGCTACCAATTTTTACCTTAATTCCTACAAGATTGTAAGTATACTATCTACTACATTCACAATTATTTTTAGTAAAAATGATATTATCATTCAACCATCACTAAATCTTGTGTGACATTTCTGCTTTCCCCAAATATTAATCATTATCAGTAAAATCTCAATATGATCCCCAGCTACAGGGACCCAGTAGTTGAGGTAATCTTATTTATTTGTGTTTTGAGACTATGTTGGTGTTGAACCTCAGACTATAGAAGTTTTGGACTTTTTATAATTTTAACTCCTCTATTTATGTCTATATCCAGTTTTGAGTTAGTGTTAGTATATTATGTGGGACTCTAATGCATTTTTGAATACACATAATCATTTGTACAAAAGACATTTGCTACAAAGTTTATTCTTTCCTTAAATAATTTACACCTTTGTTGAAAATCACTTAGATATGTGAGCCTTTATTTCCATGCTTTTGGTTCTATTACATTTACCTGTAAGTATCTTTATAGCAGTATTATATCTTTTGATTACTGTAGGTTGTATTGATTTTTTAAAATGCCTTAACTTTATTTTTATTAGTACATGTTTGGTATACTTACTTATCACATCCATCATAGGAAATTTGTGCCTGTACATAATATATCTTTCTTTTTTTTTCCTCATTCCCCTTTCTCCCTTCAACCTTTTTGCCTCTCCTATTTATACAATTTTTTTCCTTTCATTGTCCTTTATTTTTCTTTTTCCCTTTCTTTAAGGTCATAATCTTAAGTGAAATAAATTGGATGCACAGGTTTAAATACTGCAATTTCTCTTGTGTAATATGAGACATGCAACTGGGATACAGAACATTAGATTGTAGTGATCAGGGAAGACCTCTCTGGTGGTAGAACATGAGTTACATAAATCAGCATGCCTTGCAGATATCATGAAGAAGACTATTCCAAGTGAAAGATGCCCTTGAATCACATTCCCCAGAGGAAACTTGTATGACTATTTGAAGAACAGCAAATGAGTAGATGGCTGGAGGGAACAGTGAAGTGAGATGGAGAAGGAGCAGGACGTGAGAGCATGTAGGATTGGCAGGCAGTGGTGAGAACTTGAGCTGTTCATACACAGTCATGAAACCCACTGGAACATGAGCACAAGAGAGAGAGAGAGATTTTGGCTTAATTCTTGAAAGAATTGCTTGGGAGAAGCAATGAAAACAACAAGATTTAGAAAGAAAGAAGAGGAAGCAAGAAGCCTATTCAGGGTTACTTTAATACTAGAGTAAGGCCAGAAGCTTGGACAATGTTATTGAAGTCAGGCTGCCGATCCCAGCTGGATCCTCTGCACATTTTGAAGGTCAGGCTAGAAGGATTTCATGATCTTTTAGAGAGTTTAAGAGAAGACTCAACAACTACCACCAGGTCTCCAATTGGAGTATCTAGAATGATTGGTGTACAGTTTACCAAGGGAGTGATGATTAAAGAAGAGAAAAGCAAGTTTGCAAAAAAAAGAGAAAGCGAATTTTGATTTGTGTTGAAGTTTTCCAAATGGAGACTCCAAAGACTACCAAGAATATTTACATGAAGGGTGTCAGTGCATTTAGGGGAAAATAACCTCTGTCCTTCGTTTTCCATTGCAGGTCGTTTACCTTCATAACAACAACATTTCTGCAGTTGGAGCAAATGATTTTTGCCCACCAGGATACAACACCAAAAAGGCTTCTTACTCAGGTGTGAGCCTCTTCAGCAACCCTGTCCAGTACTGGGAGATCCAGCCCTCCACCTTCCGATGTGTGTATGTGCGCTCTGCTATCCAACTCGGAAACTACAAGTAACTCCGAGAGAGCTCTCACTTTCAGAATCCGGTCAAATCCTGCCGGTGTCAGTGCTAAAAGAAAAACAATAAAGTGAAATTTTAAAGAGTGAGAATAAATGCTAGATATTGGAAACTGTACTGTGGTTGTTTTTCCCACATGACTTGCTATACATAAAGCTAAATGTGCAGTTCAAGTAATTGCCTATAATAAAAATTATTTGCCTGCCATCATCAGAATCATTTGTTAAAGTTTCTGTTAATGTTAATTGAGCTACTATAGGTATCTTTATTTCACCAAATGTAAAATTTGGAGAAATTATATATAGATGTCAAAAATTACTAAAGCTTTTTTCTATTAATTTTTTGGAAAGAACAAAATGAAAACAGTATCGTTCTTCTGTAATTCATAGGGCAATTAGTTGCTGCAACGTAAAGTTAAATGCCAGATGCTAGTTCTGTGTTAATCTCCATTATTGGTAAAGCCTTATTTGAATATGTGAATTCAATACAGATTATGTAAAATTTTTTTCTAATGTCTTTATTTTGAAAAAAAAATAAATTAAAATGCATTCAAAATTGATATGGTATAAAAGCTTAATTGTAAATATTCCCTAAATTGAACTTTTTGAAATGAACTGACCATAGCACATATCTTCAAGTTGTCAGTATTTCTTCCGCCCTTGTTTTTGATATTTCAATGTGATTTCTCATATTACCTACATCCAGTGCTAGATTATAAAGTACAAAACATACTATTTCTGATTAGCTACTAATTTGCTAAATACAATTTCTAATTACTAGTAGTATAGTCAAGGTGCTCACCTGAGCATTTCTACATTTACTAGCTGTATTAGAAACATTAATTGTCTTATGAATTTTAAAACTTGCTTTAGGGTTTGGAAACAGCTGTCAAAACAGAGTACATTGATTTAGGTTTGAATAGGGTTTCTACTTAGAAACAAACCTTTTGAAACAGTTTTTTTTTTTTATATAAAGGTGGATGTTTTGTGATTGCAAATCCTAGAAAAATAAGTCTAAATATGAAATTTGCCAAACAGTGAACAAAAATAAAATTTCATTCTTTTTATAAACTGATTATCTCAAGTATTGCTGTTAGTGATGAAACTGGACCGACACAGACAGTCAAGCTCTTTCCCAAATTCCCAGGGAAGAGCGCATCCTTGCTTCTTGTCTCGTTGTGCCTTGTATCTCGAGATTTTCCTCGTCTTAAGGCAGCGTGTCTCAGATTACTGCCTCCATCTTCACACAACTTTCTTCTGTCATGTGTCTGTGTCTGCTCTGCCCTGCTCACAGGACAGTCGCTGCATTGGGTTAGGATTTTAGTTAATATGAGCCCTGTCTAACTTGATTACATCTGCCAACACTAATTTTCAAATGAAGTCAGTTACTGGGGATTACATCTTGAACATCTTTTTAGGGAAATAAAAATCAAATTTTCAAATGAACCACTAGCATTCATTCTTCTTTATAAATATATTTTTGTTTCAATGTTATTAAAATTTTTGTTAGGTTATATGTGATTACATAAAAGTTCAGCCTAATGTGGCACTAAATGCTACTATGTCATTCTTATCACATAAATGAAACATGATTATTATTATTATTTATTTATTTATTGGTACCAGGAATTGAACTCAACCGCATGCTTGCTAGGCAGGCACTTAAACTGCTGAGCTAAATCCCTGGCTTTGTCTATTCATTTCACTGAATCATTGACATTATCCTTTTTTATTTTATTTATTTTTTTCTTTTCTCTCTTCCATAATACTGGGGTAACAAACTCCGTCATTGGAAGGTTTGAGTGCTGCTATAGATACTATCATTTTATCTTCGTGCAAATGAAGAAGCACCTAATACTTTGTTTTGTTCAGTCCTTTCTCATTCACCCAGTGCTCCAGGTTGGCCTGGTCCAAGTCACCCCTGCACATACACAGCCTCTTATGAGACCTCATTGCAGATTCTAATATCCCATAGCACAAGAATTTATAGGTTGCTGAGTTGTTGCAGTGTGATAAAGAAGAGAAAAACAGTAAATTTAGTAAAATCACTTACCATTGTAAACATCCTTCAAAGTAAAGCAACCTTGCATGAAGTTCAATCATCTTGAAGGAAAGGAAAGGCCATACATGTCTCATGTAAGATACCAAAAAAGGACTGGGTAAGATGTTCTCTGAGGATACAACACCCAGCAGCGTGTTAGGCATTGGAGGTCAAGAGATTTTCTCCCAAAGATGTTTATTCCAATAAACTTTGAGGGCCTATTTTATACTTCTGGGTCATCAGTAATAAGCATAGTACACAAATTAATTGAAAAATATACTCAATATAGCTAAATAATTCAACAAACTTCTGGTTTGATGGTCTAACAGCATATATTATTTTATTCATTCAGCAAATATTTACTAATGATATCTTATGAATGACCTTGCACTAGTAGCTGAGATACAGCAGTGAATATTTTCTTGTCCTTATGCAGTATACAGTTAAGAAGCAGGAAATATCACAGGACAGGCCACCTGTCATGGGTTGTGTCCCATGCCTCATGCAGTTATGGACTTGATCAAATCTAAAATTTGTGATTGGTTTGTTGTCTAGTGCTCAGATTGGTGGTGTGAAAGCTATACCCGCCTAAGGGTGGAGCCAGTATATGATTTAATAGCAGGAAGAAAGTGTGTCTCTCTATCTTGCTGTTTTTGTCCCTTACTGTTTTCAGTTACCATGAAGGGCTGCCCCCACCATGCCATGCTCCCTTGGAGCCAACTGAGTATAGACTGAGACCTCCAAGAATTGTTAGAAATCAACCTTTCATTCCCTAACTTTGAGCATCAGGTATTTTGTCTCAGTGACAAGTAAAAAGTGATTAAGGCACACTCTAAAGGAGAGAAAAAAGTGAAATAGCACGGAGGAATAAGGAATGAAACAGAGTGGAACTTGTTCTAGAAAAAATTGTTGAAGAAAGACTTTCCCATCAGAAGGAACATTTGAACATTTGAAGGAACATTTGAGACATAGGAATGGAAAGAAGCAAGTTAAGCCTAGAAAAGATGCACTAACAGCAGAGAGGGAAAATCTGAGGACAATAAAATAAGCAAGGAAAATCAAGATTTAAAATAGCTTTGAGAAGTAGGGGGAGCAAATCTGGCAGTGCTTCTTAGACAGCCTGCAAGTACAGGTTTTACTTGAGCAAGATAAAGGTGTTGAAGAAATCTTAGGGGAATGACTGCTCTGTCTACATAAACCATAGAGGTACGGCAGGGCCAACCAAGGATATTTAGGTTGCTAGTGCATTAAAGAAGCAAGAGATGATAGTGGCTTTGGTTTGGAATACAAGGGTGATGGGAAGGCATCAATTCACAGATTTGCTTTTAATGTGGAAAGAACATGATGGCTGAGCTTTCAGAAGGGGCATGAGAAAGAAATAATAAAGACAGAGATAACTTCAAAATGTTGGCCTGAACCAGCAGAAGAGCAATATAAATCACCATGTGTTAAGTTGGGCAAGACTGAGGATAACAAGTTGGAAAATGTAGAGATTGAAAGACTGGTTTTGGACCTGCTCATTTTGAGATACATACTCTACTTCTAGATGGAGTTATCAAGGAGATCTTAGATGCAGGACTTAGGAATTTGGGTGTGGGACTGGGCTGTAGGCTGCCAGAAGAGTTTGTGAATCCTCTTTATCAGCACAGAAATGACTTGACTTTATCCAAACTAAGCAATCATATTGTAGATGTTAGTAACACATTTTACAGGGCCAATTCTGGTGTTTTGCAATGTTCTTGTGGTTTCTAAGATAAATAAACTTAATATATGTTTCCGTCTGGATGCCTTTGTTATGATTGTGTCAGCATTTCCAAAACAGTCCTCCTTTGGATGACACCGAGAAAGAAAAATCTCTTGAGAAAGAATTGTACCCTTTTTAAAAATTTTGTGTTTTTGTGTGTGTTCTTCTTCTTCTTTTCTTTTTATGCTGAGTTTAAAATAGTATAAAAATACTCTAGTTTTTGTTTATCTGAGGAGTTTACATTAAAAAAGCATTCCTTGGTGCCTGATTTGAATGGGGGCTGATAATTTGCTAGTAGTTTGGTAGTTAAAATAAGCAGTCCTGAGTAATAAAGAAAGCATATTCCTGAAAATGCATGGGCTATGAATAGCACTGAATAAGAACATTTATCAAAAAAACCCATAGGAATACATATAAATGTGCAGCTATGGCAATTTTATATTGAAGCCAAAAAGAATTTTCAGAAAATTCTTTAATTATTTACATTGATCATTAGTAGTAATGAACCCATATGATTACTTGATCTTGTGTTGAAATACTTTTTCTTGAAATAATTTTTTCCTCCTTTTTGCAGAAAACTAGGCATGTGTATGTAGTATGCATCCTGTATCACTTCTTGGCTTTTTGGCAAAGATCAAGTAGAATTTCATACCTACAACTTTAACATGCTCATAGGAGAGAAAATAAAGTCTTATTTCATCTGACCGTTTGTTCATTTATTCTATTCACTGGAACATTTAAGCACTTAGATTATGACTACTGTGGGTCTGGAAAAAAATACATGTATTTTTTCCCTCTAGTGAATTATCTTTGGAAAATAAAAGAAATATTATTTCAATAAGCTTAAATATTCATAAAAATAATATCTAAGATGGTTCTGAAAGGAAATGAAAGTCAAAAATGTTACATATCTATTCATTATTAAAAATTATAATGTTAAACAAATTTCCTGTGGCTACCCTGACTTCAGGAAAAACATCTGGAACAGTGTAACAAATACCAGGCCACCTACAAATCACAGGATAAGGCTTTTACTGAGGCTCAGTAATGATAAACAAAGCTTATGGGACCAGATGTTTCTAGATCCTGTTATTTTTTACTAAGATTCATCTTCCTCGCACACCATCTGGATTGATAGTTGGAATTTTAGAAGTTATTCCTTCCCAGCTTCATTGGCTAGCTTTGATAAATATATTAGAATTGTATTTCCCAAGGGCGAGCACTAATAGAGTTATTGGAGAAAACTGTAATTGTGAGTGGGCCATTGGACTTGGCTCAGGCTTAAAAGAGGCTGTCACATTCACAGAAACTACATTCCCTTCAGGTATTGTTGTCTACTTGTAAATTCCTTTCTCTAAAACTGTGTCTTAGGCTGTCACTAACAAAAATGGAAACCAGGCAATGTTGCAAAAAACTTTTGAGGGGCTACTAGTACGTTTTAACTTTTGCCCCATTTTGAAACTTATTTTCAATGAAAGCATAAAAATATAAAATTTGAATCTATTAGTGGAGTACCATGTGATGTTTCAATACATATCTACTTTATGTAATATTTAAAGCAGATTAAGCATATCTATCTTCTCAGGTATTTATCATACTTCTTTATGGTTAAAAACCATTCCAAATCCCTTCTCCTAGCTATTATCTAGTCTTACCTACTCTTCTATAGCACACTAATACTTCTTCCTTCCTATCCAACTATAACTTATTGCTCTCTAACTGTACCCATTTATCAGTCTCTCTTTTCTCTCTCAAACCCTATTCTTCTCAGCTACTAGTAAACACTACTGTACGCACAATTTATATGAGACTAGTTTTTACATTCCACA